TTCACCGCAGCCTCCTGAGTGCTGAGGTGACAGACCTGTAGCACCAGGCCTGGCTGGTCACGAGATTCTTTAGCTGCATCTCTCTTCCTCTGTAGCTTAACTGACAGCTGGCTCTCAAGTCTTAACATGTCATTTTGTCCTCAGATAGAAACATCCAGAATAAAAAAAAATTAAAGGCTGTCATTAGCATATAAACTACAAAATACTTTTATGTAAATAAAGTTTTCCAATCTACATATATACAAGTGTGTGCATATGTTTAAATTGACACACTCTACTTTCCACATGAGGTCCTTGCTAGCCTGACAGTTGATCCCAAACCATGAGGTTTGGGCTCAGCCAGAGACCCTGTCTCAAAAGCCATCAGGTGGAAAGCAGCTAAGGAAGACACTCCCATGTTGATTCCTGGCTCACACACATGAACACATGTGAACAGGTGTCTACACCACACACACACTCCAAGGAAGATAAATAAATAGGAGATATTGCCCAAGGTCACTCTTTGGGTTGATGGTTGTCAACTTGACACAGGCTAGAGTCCTCTTGGAAGAAAACGCTCAATTGAGAAAATGCCTCCATCAGATTGGCCTACAGGGAAGTCCATACAGTATTTTCTTGATTAATTTATAGGTGTGGGAGGGCCCAGCCTACTATAAGTTGGTTCTACCTGGGCTGGTGGTCCTGGGTTCTAAAAGAAAGCAGGCTGAGCAGGCCATGAGGAGCAAGCCAGTAAGCAGCACCCCTCCATGGCCTCTGCATCAGCTCCTGCCTCCAGGTTCCTGTCCTGACTTTCCTCTGTGATGGATTGTGACCTAGAAGTGTAAGCTGAAATACACCCTCCCCCAGGCTGCGTTTGATCCTGGTGTTTATCACAGCCATATAAAGCAAACCAGGACATGCACTCAACAGGAAGTGGCAGGGGTGGGATTTGAACTCAGGTCTTCTGCCTGCTACAAAGTGGTGAGGTTCTGAATGTCAGCGTGCACCACATGTTGTCAGTCCCACGGGTGGTACCCCCCAAGCAATACGGATGGAAGTGGGCAGGATGGCTACATATCTTTGCTCAGGTATCTTAACAAGGCCATGATCCTAGGAGGGGACCCCACTGTGTGCTTCCAGTGAGACATCCCACTTACTAAAGTTCCAAGGAGAAAGACAGGAGTTCTCGCTTCCAAACAACCACCCCACCATGAGCTGGAGGTGACCTCAGGCACAGAGAACATGGCTCCTCCTGTGTGTGTGTGTGGGGGGGGGAGGGATGACTTACAGAGGGGTCTGAGTCACACTTCAGACTCTGAGCCTAGAAGGTGAGTCTTAAGATACCTCCGTGGCTGCTTACCCCCCATACCCAATTATTTATTACAGGGTCTTCTGTAGCCCAGGCTGGCTGTAGCTGAGGATGCCCTTAAACTTCTGATCCTCCTTCGTCTACCACTGGAGTGCTGGGGTGAGAGGTGTGTGCCACTATGCCTGGCATTATGTGTTGCTGGGGATGGTACCCAGGGCTTTGTGCATTTGGGCCAAGTACTCTACCAGCTGAGCTGCATCCCCAGCCCGCATCACCACTTTGAAACAGTCCCCATTTGCTCCATCCTTGGCCCAGCCACACTGCAAGGCAGAGGCAGAGATGACTGAGGCCAGCCCTTGTGTCTCTAAGGGGATGAGTCAGTCCGGAGCAAGCCCTGCTGAGCCCGCCACAGGGACACAGGAGGCATCCTCTACCCTTTCTCCCACAGTTCTGCATTTCCAAATCCACTTCCTCCTGCAGAGTGTCTTTGGGATCCCAAAATAACTTCAGAGTCACAAAGCTCAACATGACGCACACAAGAGCTGGCTCACAGGTGAGCCTCCCCCGCCCGCTGCAGCCCAGCCAGGAAGCTGCTCCCCACGGCCTCCTCCGCCACGGAGGCCGCCACTCACCACAGAAGGAGATGATGTGGCTGCTGTCCTCGTGGACAAACTTTCGGGTAACGGCCTCCTCCATGATCTGCTTCACCTGCAGGACACACAGGGGTGGGAGAGACTGATCGGACTGGGTGCTGCACCCCAGGGCCTGTGCTGTACCCCCAGAGTGCCCCCGCAGGCTGTCTGGGGTGTGTGGGTAGCCCCCCGCCCCTTTTCCTTCCACGGCCTCTTGGTCCCAGGCAGATCTGTGGCTGACAGCTACACGCTGCCCATTTCACTTCATTGGCAGGGAGGTTTATCACCTCTTCGTCACACAGAACGGCCTCCCCTGCCCACAGTTCCCCCAACTGTTCTTGTCCCACCTCCAAGACGGATCCTTCGAAGGACTCACCTGCTCTGATTCCTATGGTGTCCTAGCCACATCTCCTCTCCAGAATACAAGTCCCTCTGCCTTGCCCTTTGCCTTACCCACAATGTATATTAGGTGCTCAATAAAGGTCCCTTGGCTGCATGCTGAGTTCGAAGATAAAGGAATTGGGGGGGCATGGGGACAGTCAATTATGGGATCCTGGAGACCTGGGTTCAAATCCCTGCCTTTGTGAGTGAGCTTTGAGAAATAGAGGCTCCAGAGAGTCAGGGAGGGAGGGAGCAGACGAAGATGGAATCCCAGCTTGGGTCCTCATCACAGGCTGTGGCCTGTCTTCACTGCACTCGATCCCTGCCACGCACTGTTGAGTGACTCCAGGACACACGCAAGGTCATTTTGGAAATGGACAGCTGGCCTCAGGAACAGTAGTGACCTCTGGGGGCTTGAACGCTGCCCTCTGGCTTCCCTGGACTTGCACCCCATCATGCCCAGAGGCATTGTGGGATGAAAGCAAAGTCTTTCTCTCTGGGCCTCGGTTTCCCCACCTTGAGTGTGAGGTCAAAAGGTGATTCAAAGGCCTATCCCAGAAATCCATCACAGGGCCTCTAATATTACACACACACACACACACACACACACACACACACACACACACACACACACA